GATTTCACTTTGGAAACCAAAGTGAGTGCTGTGTTGAGTGCAGACCATTTTCCTTCCCCTCTGCTTTTGCCTTGTCTTACCCTTCACTGCATAGGAATCAAGTGTGATAGGTGAGGAACAGCTGGTTTGCACTGCAGACATGCCAGGGTTGCCCATTGCTTCTCATGAAAAAGAACAGATGCTCATTAAGGTGTGGAAAGGCAAACACTGCTCTGCTTTCCTATGGAAGACACCAATGCCTTCTGATTTCAGCTATAGATACACAGTTCCCCCAGTGCTTCCATTTACAAAACTATTTGAAAGCATTTTTTAAAAAAAGCATGTGAGTGTCTCTAGATCCCCTGCACTCTGTACAAGCTGTAAGTTACATTAGCATGAGAATCGGTCATGCTGGGAATTTATGTAGAAAACACAGATCTTGGGCCATACTGACCTGCCAAGTTAAACCTTCATTTGTTTGCAATAACCATGTTGTGTAATTCCAGAAGCAGGGAAGAAATATTACCCAGCCTCCAAACCATCTCATTAGCAAATGTGCTAACAGGAAGACTTTCCCACTGGGTTTAACACCTAGCTCCCAACAGCTTTAAACAAGGAAAGTGAGAAGGTGACACACAAAATGACTTACTGGACAAAGGTTAAGATTTGAATGTTCTAGGTTTTGATTACTGAAAGACTATTTCAGCACCTTATCCTTTCAACTAGCCATCTTCAAATATCTAATGGGCTGTAACATGGCAGATGGAGAAGGCTTGTTTTCTCCTGCTCCGGAGAAACCAATGGATTCAAGTTACAAGAAAGAACATTCCAACTAACCATCAGGAAGAGCTTTCTGACAGTAAGAGCTGTTCAACAGTGGAACAGATTCCCACAAGAGGTGGTGGAATCTCCTTCCTTGGAGGTTTTTAAGCAGAGGTTGGATGACCATCGGTCATGTGTGATCTAGTTGACATTCCTTCATTGCAGGAGGCTGGACTCGATGACCCTTGAGGTCCCTTCCAACTGTACAATTCTGTGATTCTATGATAATTGACCTATTCAAAAATCCAGTTCCCACACAGAATTAGAATCTTATGGGAATGGCTGGCCCTCCCCCTTCAACATGCCCTTCCGGCCAACCCTGCTTTCCTCCCCACATTAGAGAGCAAACATCTGCTCTGGACAGCCTGGTTTACTTCTGGAGGTTTCTTGTAATTTTAAACTCTGCTCATGTAGTATAGTTATGGACAGTGGGATGGGTGGTTGGAGCAAGGTGGCTGGATAAATAGATAACTACTTGATCCTCTGCTTGTCCTGTTCTAGAATATACTAGAAGAGTATATCCATGTCTTCAGTTTGTTTTGGAGGGAATAAGGTCTACTTCCAATGTAATATATTCTTCCTCAGGTATTCTTCTGACACACACAAAAAAAATGGCCCTTGGTTTTCTGTTTATGGTTATAGTTGCCTCACTATACCTAGCTCACTATACCTGCATAGAATTTCAGGCTGGCTTTTGTGAGAAAGAATGTTGAATGCCATTTTATTATTCAATAATAATAATAATAATAATAATAATAATAATAATAATAATAATAATTTATTATTTATACCCCGCCCATCTGGCTGAGTTTCCCCAGCCACTCTGGGCGGCTCCCAATGAAGTGTTAAAAACAGTACAGCGTTACATATTAAAAACTTCCCTGAACTTCCCTGAACAATAATACTTATACCCTACTTAATATGCAAAACCTTAATCTGTCTTGAGGAAAACAAAATAAGATCACTTTTTAAAAAATCTATAAGCAATACAAAGAAATACATCAACAAAAAGTTCAATAAACATTCAGCAAAGCATCAAAAAATAAGAAAACAGAGCAGTTTGATGAATCTTTAGAAGACACATTTTATAGGTAAATCTAGAGTGGGCCACAAAGAAGCAAAAGAATAGCCAATAATTTATTGGTGGCTTTTTGAAGAAAAGAGAGCAAATATGGCATTCCCATGACTGCAGCTGACCTTGTAAACAGGAACGAGATTTTCATACACTATCTCAGGGAACATATAAATCCATTCCTTTAGAGAACATTAACACGTAAATCACAGTCACGCTCATTTGAGGGTGGAGGTTACTATTTAAACAGAACTCCGTGTGCATCATCATGAACAAGACAGAAAGCTGTTTTGGCAAGCAGAAACGCTGCACATGTTGTTTTGAGTCCACAGTGGCTTCCACAGTGCAGCACAATTCTTTCAATTTTCTGTGGTGGCCGAGACTCTATTACTAACAGGAGGGCTCATGAAAGGGAGAGGAAACGAAAAGAACAGAAAGAGCTTAACATGACCCAGGCTGGAATTTTAAAAGGATGGCCAAATGGTGGGTCTTGTTAGTCAGTGCACAATGTGTTCTCTTAATAATGATACACAAACTATCATTTTGGAATGGTAGTAAGTTAGTACTAATAAAGTGAAATGGATACCTGTCCTGGAATCATAAATGTAAATGTAAAGGGACCCCTGACCATTAGGTCCAGTCATGGCTGACTCTGGGGTTGCGGCGCTCATCTCGCTTTATTGGCCGAGGGAGCCAGCATTTGTCCGCAGACAGCTTCCGGGTCATGTGGCCAGCATGACTAAGCCACTTCTGGAGAACCAGAGCAGCACATGGAAATGCCGTTTACCTTTCTGCCGGAGCGGTACCTATTTATCTACTTGCACTTTGACGTGCTTTCGAACTACTAGGTTGGAAGGAGCAGGGACTGAGCAATGGGAGCTCATCCCGTCGCAGGGATTCAAACCGCCAACCTTCTGATCGGCAAGTCCTAGGCTCTGTGGTTTAACCCACAGCACCACTCGTGTCCCTGGAATCATAGAATCACAGAATTGAAGAGTTGGAAGGGACCCTGAGGGTCTCTTGTGGACATCCAAGGAAGCTAAAGATTCAGGAGCCAAAAGAAAATACTTCTTCACACAGCAGATAATTAAACTTTTGAATTTGCTCCCACGGGCAGTGATGGCCACCAACCTGGATGGCCATAAAATACATATTCACTAGCCATGATTGTTATGCTTTTCCTCCACAGATGGTGGCAGTTGGCTTCTTAATACAATCGGTGGAAACTGTAGGAAGCCTCACTCAGGTCCAGCTTGGAGGCTTTCTATAAGCATCTGTTTGACCATCACGAGAACAAGTTGCTAGACTAGATGGGCCATTGGTCTGATCCAGCATGATCTTATTTTGAAGCCTTAGAACTGATCATCACCATCAATATAAGATATTTTCTTCTGATGTTTGAAATGTGAGTCCACATTTTTATAAAGCCTTCAGTGAACAGCCAGGAAAGTGGTTCTTCCCAAGAGATATATAGAAGAAAACAAGGGAAAGAAATTGATTGCAACTCACTAACACCTAACACAATGCTGTTTATTTTTATACATTGTTTTTTCATACAAAAGTCTCACAAAATGGTTCAAGTTAATCTATACCCATGCCTGTAGACTATAAGCAAACTATTTCATATGCAGGAAGCATCTGTCGATGCTGGAGGGCAGGGGGTGAAGTGAGAAACAATGGTGCAGTTTAAGGGGGAATGATTGACTGCAGGGAAATCAGGAAGTTCAGGCTGGAGGTGAGATCCACAAGTCCCACTTTAAACATTAATTGCAGGGAATCAGAAGTGTAAGGTACTAGTGCTAATGCAAACTCTACAATTCAAGTAATGTATGAAAAGCCTTTGATTATTTTTTTAAGAAAAACGAAGAAGCCATGTCTTATTCAATAGTGCTTGCCGTCAGATGGAATTAAGCTCGGTTAGAAAAGCAGGCTGAAGAGGGTATTTCAGCACTGATGAGAGCAGAGAATAAGCATCAGTCTTGGATCATTACAGCAGACAACCCACTGGCGGTACAAGGGCCCAACTACACGTGATGCTTATCTGCACGCACTTTGAGAACAAACTTTTTCTTTCACACAATGTCAGGTCAGGATGCAGGAGTGGGGGGTGAGATCTATGTGAAGACCCTGGAATGGGGTGGGAGGGATCCACTCCTTCCTGCAATGCAAACTGCATGTGGAGGGACTCTTGCAGATTGGTACTATAGCCGGGGCAAGGGTTAAAGCCCCCATAATCCCCCCCCACATACCAGTTTCCCAGTCTGGATCCGGGTCCCCATGCTGCCAATTTGTGATAAACGTGGCGTGCAGTTTGGCTCTTAGCAATAGAAGTAGCAGCAGCAGTACAATATTTGCAGAGCTAAAATATTATGTGATTTGACTGCTACTTTGAGAGCCAACAGGCATTTGCATTAATAAGCAACTATGTGCATTCCACAGCTCAGAATTTAGCTATCATTCCTTTCTGCCTGGATTAAAAGTTATGTGAAACCTGACAGGCTGCAGAGGCTTTAATTTAAAATAGTTCAGTAAAGCACCACATTATTCCACAAATCTGAATTTTTGCTATACGAAAGCATCGCTAAGGGTTTTCACCAGTGAGGCCTAATGAAGTGTGATGTCACAACAGCAGCCTTACTAAAACTTAGGATGAGACATAGTCTCATGCTTTTTGTTCATGAAAACCTCCTATTTCTTCTCAAAACTATTTTAAGAGAAGAAGAAGAAGCAGAAAAAGCCAGCGAACGCAGAGCCTGTAGGGCTCCAAAGGGTGGGGGGCCATGGCTTACTGACATGGCCCATTTCCTTGGAGATAGCTGTGAAGAGTTATTTTATTTTGGCAAGTCAGAAGGGCGAGGGCTCTCTGTCAACATGGGACAGGCAATGAGGCAATTTACCGCCTCGTGAAGCCTGTGTAGAATAATGCACTGAAGTCAGAGTCAGTTTTTTATGGAATGTATGACTGGAACAAGAGGCCAGACTATATACGACCCATTAATTTCCCCGCCATCAGTGATATGATGCAATTAGGAATACACCCACAGCACCTGCGTGCATTGTAGCACAGCAGGGCACCTCTGTCAATGACCTTTTCATAGCTCTACACTGTATTTACACAGTCACTAACCAGATTAGGGTTGCTGTGCAGCTGTTTTCGTTCTATTGTTCATGGGTGGCTTTCAAATACTAGCCTTGCCAGGATCCTTGAAACAACAACAGGATGAATCTCCTTCAGGGATACTTCCAGCCACATTCTTTCAGTGAAAGGAAGCGGTGTTTTCTGTCTTGCCGTCCTTGAACTCTCAGGCTTTTTATGTCCCCGACTTACTGTAAAATGAAACAGATCAATCATTAATATTATAATACAATACAATACAATACAATACAATACAATACAATACAATACAATACAATACAATACAATACAATATATATATTGGTGTGCCCCCCCCCTTTTAAGGCACCCACCTTAAGATACAACAAAGACATTTCAGATCACCAAGAAAACTGGCAAATCTAGAAACAAGCAAAGCCTCTTTTACTTAAAGCTGAAAGTTTGGGCCAGTGTAATGCCTGCACTCTCTTGGGAACAAAAAATTGTTGTGGCCCGAATGGAAAATGAAAGGTTTGCCCATGCAGTTTCCCAATGAAGAGGGGATATAGTGAGCTAAGCTGTGCAGATGTCCTCAGTCATTAACCCGTCTGAGAATGACTGCTGCTGAAGCAACATCTGAGGTTGGATCTCACAAAGTATGCAATCTGGGCCCTACATGGCTCTGTCCAGGGTACCCTGGCCTTGCCTCTGCTGAAGTCAGTGATCACAACAGAACACACAGAGAGACCTTCATCCTCCATCTAGGCAAGCAAGAGGCATGACCTCATACAAGGACACATTCCAGCCAGGCAAAGGTACTCAAGGAGAGTGCAGAGCAGGGCCAGTGAGGAATGCCACCTGGAGGGTTGGACAAAGAGAACTGAAAGGCTACATTTGGACCCTAGAACTGACGGTCTGTACCTCTGCTGTATATGTTTCCCACTATGTTCAATGGTGCCGACTCCAAGGTAAGTGCCATAGGATTTCGGCCTTGATAGGTTTGATTAATTGGTTAATCCTGCCTATCAAAATGCTGCCCTCACATTTCCTGGCTGGTGTGGCTAATTTACTTCTATTCTTCCTTGCCTTCATAGTTTTTCTTACAGTATCTGACTTTTCTGACATAGAACTGCACAGAAGACTTATACTGTATATTATTTCAAGATGTCAGTTCTGCTCCTTGCGAATGATCCAGCATTCCAGGCCACACAATGGCTGGCATTGTTATGACTTCATATTCATATTGTTGGGGTGTTAATGCATTGTTGTACATTTGGCCATCTTGATTACTAGGAACAAGGCCAGAGGGGGAAACATGGCAGAGCAGATCCCTGATAGCCAAAAGTTTTACATCAAATAATTTACTAAGAAGCCATGTACCTTTTACAAATTATTCTGAATAATATTTTAATTTTTAATTTTTGGTAAAAATAAAAAGAAAGAAAGAAAGAAAGAAAGAAAGAAAGAAAGAAAGAAAGAAAGAAAGAAAGAAAAATGATTTTTACCTCTGAAATGATTAGAGGCACTCTCTAATGACTGTACTTAAAAACATGCAACACGAGACTTCTTCTTTTTTTAAAGATTCCCCTGCAATAGGATCTCTGAGCCAGAAAATCTTGGGCTTGATTCCCATGCTGAGTGTACACATTTCCTCTTTGGCAACAGGCAGTGCATCTTAACCTGTCTTGATTGCTTTAATGTCCTGAGGGAGCGCTTCTTATTTAATTAAGAATTAATTTCCTCTATTTAGCCATTTTGGGGCCAGTTCATATGCAATCAAATAGCATAAGATCTACAGTCTGATAAATCATAGCTCTCAGGTAAGGCCCCAAGAGTTCAGATGTTTATCAATACATTGCAACCCTGTAAAATATGACTGGAAACCAGGCCAAAATCAGACTTGCTGATGAAATTTCCAGTGTTTCCTATTTTGGTTAAGAATCTTAAATGTCACTCAGACTGTTCCCTACTCTTCCAAGGACATGGCAATTTGTTTTTTCAACTGACACCCTGATTGTAACACTTGATTGAAAACAAAGACTCATTGACTTCTATGAAACATATTGCTAGTTTGCTATGTAGGCAAATGGAGGACTACATATGGAGAAGTGAAAGCGGATTATCGGGTATTGATGTCTCAGGGAGATCAAATTTTTCTTCAAATTTTATCTTAGTCAGCAATTATTTGGTGGTAGCAGGATATGTGTACAGAATGTTGCTGACTTTCCAACTTAATGTGTGCAAATGAAAGGTTTTATCTAAAGTAGATCACCAATGAAGAGCTGGTTGAAGATTATTGGTATATCTGGTATAATAATCAGAAAAGACTTTGAAGCAATGTGCAAGGCAAAAGTAACATATCTTAGGCATGGGGTGAATGAATCCATACTGTAGGAGGTCATAAAATGTTTATCAAACAGCTTCAAGGCAGTGGCGGAGCTTCATGCTCCGGCACCAGGGGCAGAGAGCAGGCAGGGGCGGGGCTGACACCCATCCTGGGGGCATGGGGCGCCGCCTGCGGGGGCGGGGCACCCAGCGTGGGCGAGGGGACAGCCGCAACGGCACCCTGGGATCGCGCTGCTGGGGGCGGGGCGCTCTCCCCGCACACCTCTTCCTCCACCAGTGCTTCAAGGTAGCTCCAGCTCAAAACTCAACCTCCATTTCACACACCAGTGCCACACCAGTGCCTCTCCTTTCCTGAGCTTGTGGAATAGGAGCCGCTGTAATGCTTTGAACCCCTCCATTGCAGGCTGAGGTATAAATGCGTAAATAACCATATATCGTAAAGACACCACACTCTCCACTGTGCCTCATTTCCAAGGGAAACACAAACCCTGGTTAAGCACCTGGAACCCCTGGAATCTTGTACTGCTCCGTGATTGGGATAGCGTGCAACAATATGTTGTGCTCCAAACTCCCATGAGCCCCAGCCAGCATGGTCAGAAGTGATGGGAGTCAAATGGTCAGAAGTGATGGGAGTCAAAGTCCAACAGCATCCAGAGACCTCCATGTTGGCTATGAATGATTTTAAAAGACTCACAAAAAGAAAAGAAAGGGCACTCAACTGTTAAACCACGCTCAACTGATTTTGTGAGGAGACTACCTCAGAGGAGGCATTCTCAGCTGAAATAAGTGCCTGCTGTACAAAGGGGGGGGGATTTTACCTTCCCATTGGCTCATCTTCTCCATTCCCAGCATAGTGCTGACCTCCGCACTGTCACAAATCCGTCCCACAAGGCACAACACAGCTGCAACAGCAGCAACAGCTTAAAGGTTTGCAAGGCAGGAGGCAAACATCTAATAGAGTTTTCTAAAGCTTTGGAGTGAAGCTCCCACTGTACACATCCAGTGGTCATTGTTATCCAGGTGTTATGCTTATAACCAAAACCATTCTGAGTATTGATTTCGAAAAGACTCACTATGCCAATGAAGGGCGGGGAGAGGAATCACATCATGATCAACCTAAGTTCAATAATATTCCATATTTATGTTGAAAGTCATAATTAGGCCCCTTTTCTCCATCCTTATTTGTTCAGCTGTCACAGGGGTCAAGAGGCATTTGATGCCATCAGGAAAATAACAGAAAGAGGAATCTTGGAGTTACAGATGTAATGCAGCCCCTAGCTACTAAAGAAAATAAATGAAGGCTGGAATTTAACATCCTCTTTGTTGGCTTGAAGTAATTGTAGAAGGTTCTTGGAAAGGTCATTTCACTTAAAGGGAAAAAAACCCCATTTCAGAACCATTTTTCCCTCCAGAAATTCCAGTTATCTTTGTAAACACCATCAGTCTTCTCCCACAAAGGGTTCATTCCCAGTTTTGGCTTATCTCTGCAATCCACCACTCAGGTGAAGTGTGTATACTCTACAGCCACTCAGGAGTAATTGATTCTTGCGCCTTTTCAATCCAGACATCTTAAATGGGAGTAAAACTCAACCATTACAAGAACCCATGTTTTTTGTAGTATGGCTATAAAAATGCTGCTGATTGCTTTTGCTCCCCCTGTATTTTAAAGATCAAGCTGAAAGTGTGATTTTTGTACACCTAGGCTATAAAACCTTATCACATCAGAGACAAAGGTTCAGCATAGTCCTCTCCTTACTATTTTAGTTGCTACCTGGAGAGAGTTCTCCATGCATAGGAGCATTCAAAATTGTTTTCGAAATGGTACATTTAATTTTAGTAACTCCAGACACTTTCACCTCAATCTGCTGCATGTGTAAATTCAGCTGAACTGTTGAAAAGGCTACTCTGATAAAGATCAGCAAAATGCATTGGGAAATAGTAAATAAATATGGACCCTTATTAGTTTTGCTATTGCATTTTTATTTTCTGGTTTTCTTTCGGAGGGTGGTGCATTCCCCTCTCTGTCTGGTCACCTGTATGCAATCCCAGCACATTATTGCTCATGCTGTGATATTAAAGGTAAAGGTAAAGGTACCCCTGCCCGTACGGGCCAGTCTTGCCAGACTCTAGGGTTGTGCGCTCATCTCACTCTATAGGCCGGGAGCCAGTGCTGTCCGGAGACACTTCCGGGTCACGTGGCCAGCGTGACATCGCTGCTCTGGCGAGCCAGAGCCGCACACGGAAACACCGTTTACCTTCCCGCTAGTAAGCGGTCCCTATTTATCTACTTGCACCCGGGGGTGCTTTCGAACTGCTAGGTTGGCAGGCGCTGGGACCGAACGACAGGAGCGCACCCCGCCGCAGGGATTCGAACCGCCGACCTTTCGATCGGCAAGTCCTAGGTGCTGAGGCTTTAACCCACAGCGCCACCTGCGTCCCACCTGCTGTGATATTACACATCCTTAAATTGTCTCTTGAAACATGTCATGAAGGAGTAACTTTGATCCAATGCCGTGGCAACAACCTAAATAATTAAACTTGGCCAGATCACAAAATCTAGACCTGTTTGACTACTTGGCCTACAAAGTGGAATTTTTATTCAAAGGCCACTTTGATGAAGTGAGCTCCATCAGCAATGTTCCCATGACACAGAATGTCTGCTATAATGAAATATAGCTGAATACAAAGTTCAGTTGAGCCTGCCTCTAGCATCCCATGGTTTGGCTTTGTGGAAAGCAGTAAGTGGGTGGCATTCCACTAAGCTTTACTCAGAGTAGCCTAAGGTTAATTAATTTCAGGAGGTCTACCTTGAGTCAAACTTAGCTTAGTACAACCCAGAATGTCTGGTAGCCTGGGAAGCTCAGTTCTGCTGCCTCTGGAAACCCCTCTCTTTGCCTGCTTGGTGCCAAGATGTTCAAAATGCAGGGAAAGGAGGATACTTCACTCACATTCCTAGCAGTTCTGCTAGGAAGAAAGGGTAGAGTGCAAGGACACACTCTAAAACGTATATACCCAAACACAGTGCACACATCAAAACACTTCCATTCCCAAGCTTTTTTTATGCCTGTATGGTTTGTGGTGAAGTTTTACAGCCACAAATGCAGTACACTGTAGACGGTCTGTTCCTCTTTGTAATGTGGGTTTTCATCTCACCTTGCAGCACACCTGGGTCCTCCTGATGACCATCAGCATAAGAACGTAAAAGATGGCAGTCACATTGAAAAAAATAACACCAAATAAAATAGTATGAAACTTTTTTTAAAGAATACTAATATACATATAAAACTCTCTGAATCCCAATGATAAAACACAGTTTGAAAAATGAAGCTACAATGAGAAGTTATCTGAAGAAAACTTCAGTGCTGACTGAAACACAGTGCCAGCCCAAGAGATGCAAAGCAAATCAAGTTATCAAGAGCACTAAATAAAACCTGACAATCCATCAAGGTACTGGGAAGTAAACCTTCAGCTGACATATTTCCTCTGCTTTTCTGCTTTGAGGGAGACCAAATGAAGTTCCTTCCAGTCCATTAAACTCTGCTTGCTAAGAACATTGTCTTGGTTGGTTTGTTGAATCTATTGATTGGCTTCCTACAACTCATCAGGAAAAAAACAACTCTCTGACCTAAAATAACTTTGCATTTTAGGATCTTCTTTGCTAGAGACACTGCTAACTGTAGCTCTATCACCAGTGTCATCTTCCTTCTGGTAGCAGTGCTGGACCTCAAAGGAAAGGATGTTGCGGAACACCAAAGACTCACATGAAAAGTGACTGAGGACAGCCAGAAAGAAAAGAAGCCCGAAAGTGGCCATAGTTGTCATGCAGTAATTTTGACATAGTGTTTCTAAGGTGGTTCCCCCATACTCTCAGAAGGCTTGAGGGGGATTTTGAGGCTCCATCCATTGGCCTTGCTGGAATTACCTGCAGTTCAGCTCTTCCCCTTACAGACCAGACTCCACACGTCTTGCTTTTCCAACTTGCAGCTGTCAGAAGATGGAGACAGACAGCAAGGCTCTCACTCCTTCTCTGACCAGCCTGCACGCCTATATGCTGACATACATTTTATGTTTCATCATCTTTATTCTAATTTATGCAATGTGATGACGTAAATGTTTCTCTCCTTCCTTTTGTTTTCACAGCTTTCTTTCAAATTGGAAGACATTCTGACAGGGATATAGTTTATCCTTTGTATGGTTTTAAGCAATTAATAGGATGGCCATATGTCCTATGAATGTACAGTGCATATAAGTGTAAAATAAACCATATATATTAAAATATATAAACCATATATATTAAAACACTGCAGTCTCTGACATGCCTGAATTCCCAACAGAAACATGCCTGGAAATCCCTGGAATCTTGCTACCACTCGGCAGAGATTTGGGGTGGTGCACAACCACTGTTGCAATACTTACACCAACTGCCTTCCTTCCAGGCAGCCTGAAAATGCATGCAGGGCTCTCTGGCTAAGGCCTAGATCAGTTCATAATTCAGGAAGGGGGGTGACATGGTGCCATTTAAATATTTTGGACTACAAATCCCACCAGCTCCTGTCAGCATGGACAATGGTCAGGGATGATGGGAGCTGTAATCCAGCAACATCACACTAGCTACTCTTGTACATAATTGACCACATCAAAACATATAATCAACTTAAAATTTCTCACAGAATGTACCTTTTCTTCTTCTTAGAAACACTCTGCAAATGAGATTGTTTGTGGTGTGGAATGCCTTAACTTAACTCTTTCATTAACTGGCCTAAAATCTATAAGGCTTTCCTGCGCTTCTGAATATCACATGAGAAAGAGCTTTCCCTTTTTGTTTTGTTTTAGTAGGAAAATGTTCTTTGCGTACCTTTCCAACAGTGTCCCTGTAGCTTATTCTTCTTGCATGCCAAGAAGCTTTTGGTTTTTTACATTTAACAACAGCCCAAGAAGCAGCAGCACAAATTGCTTCTGAAACTCTACTGAGTTTTATTTTTATTTTTTAAGTTTGCCATGTAGCATGGGGAGCTGCCATTCAACAACACAAGGGAAAACTCCTTTTGGAAGCATAGAATTACTTTCACAGTTTTTTGGTTCTGGACAATGGAGGAGGTCACTGTTCCTCACCCCTGGTGTCTTAAGAAGAATATTTTGGTAGAAAGCTATCAAAATACCATTGCATATGACCATCCACATTCAGTGCCAGCAGGCCCTGCTCCAGATGTTGGGGTGGTGGATGCTGGGGGTCCTGCCAGGGTGCATTTACCCCAGCAAATGTCCCAGGATGCCAGGGGCTTATGCTAGACTTGGGTGCCAGCTTCCCTGCAATGAATGAGAGCTATGTAAGAGCACTGCACCGATATTAATCTAACTGATTTGCAAGATTTTCTATGCTGCCAACATAAGAAAAAAATACAATGTTGGTAAATAGCAACCGTGAAATCACATTTATAAAACAAGTACAAATGAGTACACCATGAACCAGTGAAGACATCATCATAGCTGGATCATCCCTCAAGGAAAGCCTCGTCAGTCAGCGAAGACTTTAAAAGGAAATGAAAGAGATTTTCAATTCTGTACAAAGCTTATCTGTAGTTTTGAAGCCTCCACAAAGTTGCCTGGGCTTATGCAATGGCAAAGGGAGAGAGGGAGATGTTTGTATTGTTGCTTCTGGAAGAGGCAGGGGAGTTGTCAGTTCTGCTGTGATTAAAACTCACAGGGCGCACAGCTGAAGGCTAGGAAGAGGTTTTTAGGAGATGGGGAATTTCCTTTTCCCCACTCCCTGCACTACAATGCAATAGACCAGGGGTGTTCAACTTCCAAGAGACTGCGATCTACTCCCACTATAAATAAACTGGCAGTGATCTACCCATTGGATTGACCAGAAATGTTGAGCTTTGGGGGGGTAGGTCACTGGAGATCACACGATCAACCGGGATCGACCAGGGACAGCCCACAATTGACCGGTAGATCTCAATCGACTGGCAAATCTAAAAAAATGCAGTATAAGGATGTAAAATTGGGAAACACTGGCCTGCGAGTGCTCCAATTGGAGAACAGCCTTTGCCAAAGGTGCCCTGGACTTTGAAGAAGCACGAACTCAGAATGAAAGGCAGAAACGAGTGAAGAGGAAAGCACATTTGGCAAATCCACACCATGATCAACTCCTGCCCGAAAACCTATGTCCCCACTGTGGAAAGATGTGTGGATCCAGAATTGGCTTCCACAGTCACTTACGGACACACCATTAAGACTGTGTTCATGGAAGACAATCTTACTCGGCCACAAGTGATCACCAAAGAAGATTATCAGCAATTGGAAGACTGAATTGTAAGTCTTACACAGTTCTCCAGGGGTGTTTGTCTGCCTTTTTTAAATTAAAAATGTCATGTGGCTACTTAGGATTGTATCCAATGTCATCATATCATTAGCAGATATTACTGCAGGCTTCCAACTGCACAACATCAGCTCCTAAGAAGAGCCTGTTCCATCAGTGGCCCATCTAGTCTAGCATCCTATTCTCACAGTAGTCAATGAGAAGCAACAATACATCTCCTCCCTCTCTCTCCACACATCCCTACAGCCAGTGCTTTTTTTCCTGGGGGTACGCAGGGGTACACATACCCCTAAACATTTTGTGAATCTAAGTTTGGCCTCATTGAGGGGCAGTATTTCAATACGAGTAGGAAAATAAGAGTACCCCAAAACATTGTTTTTAGGGAAAAAAGCACCGCCTATAGCACCCACTAAAATATGCTCCAGAGAGTTGGGGAAACCTCCAGAGCAGATGTGAGTGGGACACATGCTGGGGAATGCCAGGCAGAAGTCCTGCAAAGTCATGGGCATGTTGCCTCCTTACAAAACTTTTGAAAGTGAGTTTTAAAAGATTTTGAGGTGACTGAAAAGATGTTGAGGGAAAAGAGAGGTGGTGGAGAAGTTGCTCAGAACAAAGTGTGGCTAAAGTGAGTGGGCCAAAATCATCAGTAATTTGAAAAACAGGAACAGGAGGTAACAATCATGGCCGGAAAAGTGTAGAGTAAGGATGAGCAAAAGCAATGCATAGAACCTGAAGACAGAAACTATTGTGTGCTTGGCAGAAAAGGAGGCAACAGGTAAGGAAGGGTTAGAACAGAGTCTGACTGCAGAATCCTGCCAACTGCTGCACAGCAAGCCAAAAAGATTAAGCCAGAGCAATAAAGGTGACTGGACTTCACATATTAATTTGAATTACCAACTACATAACCAATCTGGCTGCAAATGTCTAGCACTCATTGTTGTCATTAGCATATCTTTGCATGACAAATAATATTAATAACTTTAACTTTTTTGTTTATGCTTTCTTCTATAGTTTGTCTTTTCAAATGTAAAGTGTGTTGTTGTTGTTATAACAAATGGATAATTGAGCAGTTCAATAAATAGTAAAATCCTAATTGTACAATGGATGTCTAGAGTTGTTTCGCTCTGTAAATTCACACAAGCAAATTGATATATGTTTAAGTGGCCAAGGCTACAAATATGATTTAAAATATCATTATAATTCTCCAGTTTCTGAATTTGAAGCTCCCAAAACCCAGTGAAAATGGAATATACCCAGTTTTGCACATTGAACTGTTTTCATGTTTACCAGTATAGATTCTATACATTGCTTAGGGAAACACAATGTATAGCGGTGTTTGGTCTCATTTCATGTCAGAATTGTCAACAATCTTGAAAATATGGGTAGTAAAGCTAATAAATAATTAGAATGAATTTGCTACTATGAAAGCACAAAATATGTTGTTTATATGCTTGTGAAAAACTAGAAATGTGTTTTTATTGACAGAATGAATTATATCAATATTAGAACTTCCAAAGCTTCTGCTGTACCACATGCTTGTTTGTGCTTGATAGAAAGAGAAAAATAATTTGCTAGTTATCACACTGTTAAATACATGAGCATAGTTAGCAGCTCATGATGTACATTGCAACATTCAGTAAGACAGTAGGATTGTGTTGGCATATTTTTTATATATAAATATGTGCAGCTTGAGGATACTGTATGAGCAAGATTTCTGGAGATGTGTGGCCCACCACATGCATTCTCAATCCTTGCCCTTTCTGGCTTATTTTGTCAGTTAGATCTAAACAGAGGTGCTTGGTCACTGAGATAATAAGGAAAGGTGAAGTCTTGGCAACTTTGAAACAGGTCACAGCAAAACTTCTTCTTTAATAAACCCTAGGGTCAAACTTCATTTGTGTGCTGGAGCCTACAATGTCTAGCTTTTAAAAACAGGGGATATAGAAGTGCAGCAGGTATATAGAACACAGCCAGTCTTGGCCCATTAGAGAGACCATTATTTGCCTTTTGGGAAATTAGCATAAATGGATGGAGTGCAGTAAAGCCACTTCAGACAGATTGTTTGGGAAAGCCACCAGAAAAGAAAGCAAACATTTTGAATTCGCACAATCTAACTTTAAAATACGGCTTTTAAGGAGATAGCAGTCTATAAATTTTCACTTGTGCTTAAATTATGATACTTTTTTACCCTGAAGAAGAAGAAGAAGAGTTTGGATTTGATATCCCGCCTTTCACTCCCCTTCAGGAGTCTCAAAGCGGCTAACATTCTCCTTTCCCTTCCTCCCCCACAACAAACACTCTGTGAGGTGAGTGGGGCTGAGAGACTTCAAGGAAGTGTGACTGGCCCAAGGTCACCCAGCAGCTGCAAGTGGAGGAGCGGAGACGCGAACCCGGTTCCCCAGATTAGCAGACTACCGCTCTTAACCACTACACCACACTGGCTCTCTGTGCAGAAGAGAAGAGACACAACAGAAACACAGCAATTCACATTACCAAAAAATATCCAATTGGCACCAACGAGAGGTTCCCCAACCCCTTATTAATTGCTATGTGTGGAAGCAGGTGATTTTACTTGAGATCACGTCTGGTGTGGGAAGGGTTAAACCTCATCTCCTCACACATCATGGTGCCAATGATAATTGCTCCCTTGCCCCGAATGCACCTAGTGTTTAAATAATAATAATAGTAGCACAA